TGAGCTACCCTCAGTTTTCACAAATGCTGCGCGGTCTCCAGGGCGAGCGCATCCGACAAGCTTTCCAGCTGCTTGACAGGGACGGCGACGGTTACATTGAGCCCGAGGAGTTTGCGCGCATCATTCTCGAGACCTCCAAGCACAAGCTTTCCGACCACCTCCTCGCCAATCTGCACACTCTTTGCAACATTACCACGGGCAGCAAGATCTCCTACGCCAACGTTCGCGCCTTTCAGAACATGATCAAGGAGATGGATCTCGTCGAGCTCATTGTGCGACGGGCCATCTCGAGGAGCTCAGACGGCAAAATCACCCGTGCCGAGTTTGTCAACGAGGCGTCCAAGGTTACACGCTTCTCTCTCTTTACGCCCATGGAGGCCGATATCCTCTTCCACTTTGCCAGTCTTGACGAGCCCTCGGGTCGCCTGGGCTTGAGAGACTTTGCCAAGGTTCTCGACCCCTCGTGGAGAAGTCCCATGTACGACGTGGATGAGTCGGCCGTCCCCGTGACCAAAAAGGCCTCCATCTTCCATGGCATTCTGGAGTCGACCTACAACTTTGCGCTGGGCAGTGTGGCTGGTGCCTTTGGTGCCTTTATGGTGTACCCGATTGACTTGGTCAAGACTCGTCTTCAGAACCAGCGTGGCGCACAGCCTGGCCAGCGGCTGTACAAGAACTCGATTGACTGCTTCCAAAAGGTGTTTCGCAATGAGGGTATCCGGGGCTTGTACTCGGGTGTTTTGCCGCAGCTTGTCGGCGTGGCTCCCGAGAAGGCTATCAAGCTGACTGTCAACGATCTTGTGCGGCGTCATTTCACAGACAAGCAGGGCCGTATTTCCTTGAGTGCTGAGATTTTGGCTGGTGCTAGTGCTGGTGGATGCCAAGTTGTAAGTTTTTCACATCCCCTCAAGCACGAAGTGGTTTCGGCCAAAATAAAGAATAATAACAAGAAAGCTAATATTGTCCTAGGTTTTCACCAACCCCCTCGAGATTGTCAAGATTCGACTGCAAGTACAGGGCGAGGTTGCCAAGTCTGTCGAAGGCACGCCCAAGCGATCGGCCATGTGGATTGTACGCAACCTGGGTCTGGTCGGCCTGTACAAGGGAGCATCGGCGTGTCTGCTGCGCGACGTTCCCTTTTCAGCCATCTACTTCCCCACGTACAGCCACCTGAAGAAGGACTTTTTCGGCGAGACACCGGCCAACAAGCTGGGCGTCCTGCAGCTCCTGACGGCGGGCGCCATTGCCGGCATGCCGGCGGCCTACCTCACCACGCCGTGCGACGTCATCAAGACGCGCCTGCAGGTGGAGGCCCGCAAGGGCGAGGCGTCGTACACGGGTCTCCGGCACGCTGCCTCGACCATCTGGAAGGAGGAGGGCTTCACGGCCTTCTTCAAGGGCGGCCCGGCTCGAATCTTCCGGTCGTCGCCCCAGTTCGGCTTCACCCTCGCCGCCTACGAAGTCCTGCAGACGCTGCTGCCCATGCCCGGCGGCAAGAAGGAGGAGACGATGGCTGGCGTGGGCGACGTCGTGTCCGCCGTGACCAAGGGCCGGGCCCTCGACACGTCGCCGTTTGCCCGGAGCCGCAACGCCCTCAAGATTATCCTGGATCTGGACGAGGACTTTGGCCGGTCCAAGATTCCCGATGCGAACCGCTGGAAGTCGTTGCCCAAGGTGATGGGCGGTGGCGGCGCAGCTCAGTAAAAAGACAAAAAGTACAAAAACAAGCATAGCTAGCTGTTTACTTGGGCGTCAGCACCGGGTGGACTTTGGAAAAGAACTCGCTTCAATATTGAGTTTTTCTTTCTTTCTGGCAGACTCGAAACGGGTGTCGAGTTCGAGTTCCCTACGGGGAAAGTATTTGATCGGCATTGCATCAGCCGAGGCGTTTGGGCGGAGCACAGGCATCGTGGCGCATCTTGCGTTTTTTTTTTTTTCACCAGCTTTCAAGCACAATTCTTGTTTTTTGTGTAGTTTTCTTCTTCTTCTTTTCTTTTTTGGCATCTCCTATGTCGACGGATATGTTGGACAGGCGGAGCGAGGAAATCAGGGACGTTTTTGCTAGTTGCGCACTGGAGAGATGAAGCTTGTCGCGGATTCTTTCTGGATGTCGGCTAGTTTGCATGGGTTAGATAAAAAGAGGGAAGGGGGCGGGGAGCCCGCGCTCTTTGCTAGATGATACAGGATAGACTAGATGTTCTTTTATGTCTTGTGCGTCTTTTGCGTCTGGCCTGGTGATTTGTGTGTGTGGACAGTGCTTCGATGTCTTGGCTGTTTTGACGAGCTGGCGTTGCGGTCTTGCCCTTGGGGCACTTGCCCCTGCTTGCTGGGCTTTGTTTGCATCTCTTACATCGTGGCCCTTGTGTTTGGTGTTTTGGATCGGCCTTGGGCAAGCTGGGTTGTCTGGGCGCGGGGTCTCTGTGCCTATTTCACCATGTCATCTCTGTGAATTATGGCAAATTAGCAATCACCTGCTGATATGAATGTGAGTGCTGGTCGTGGGCTCCGAAGTCGTTCGCCATGGTCCCACGCACGGCCGTCTTCCGCGACGACGTCGAGCGACCTGCCGCGAAATCCAGCAACCTAGATGTCTTCTTCTTCGACTAGTCGTCTTCCTTTTGCATCGAAGAGCCAGGTGTAAGAACTTGCCAAAGGGCCAGTGAGTCGGCGCCGCATGTGCGTGTGCATGGCCGTCAAGACAAAACGTAGGCCGGACGTCTCATGCCATTGTGGCCGGCACATCGTGGCCCCCCGAGACGGTTCGGCATGGTGTTGCGAGACGAGCAAGTTACAGTCACGCGCTCGGTCGGATTGTGTAGGGAACACATGACCGGGCGATGAATAGAATGAAGCATCTTCACGGGACTGCCAGCACCCCCTCGTCCCCAACACAATGCGTCGAGATTCCTCGAAAGAGACACTTGACTCGTCGGGCATTCACACCCAGCGTCTGAGAGTCCCGGATTAAACGTCAACTGGTGCCTTTTTGTGCGTTTTAGGCCTCGCTAGTGAGTATATTTGGTGACGATTGAAGAGATTCCAAAAAAAAGCATCTTTACGTGCCCCCGACGGCACAATGGGCTCTTTGTCCGTCCCCGTTTCACCGGCATCCACGCGCCTCAAGCCGCGCGCCCATGAACCAAGTCGCCGCCGCTGCCATTCTGCTACTCAACGGCGTCTCGGACATAAATACACGGTGCCTGGTGCAGTGAAGCTTGCTGCGCGGGCTGAAGAATGCAACCATGGGTCTGCGCCAGCTGCTCCCCCATTTCGAACCGCTCGACTACGCGATCGGAACGTCCCTGATCAGCACGGGGATTCTCATGCTCGTCTGTTTTTCGATATACCTCATGTACGCGACCTCGTGAGCTGCAACGCATCGTAGCCTGGCGCTTTGTCTCTTGCGTTTTCTTTCTTTTTTCTTTTTTGGAAGTGGCGATACCCGTTTTTTTTAAAAAAGGTACCCTTCTCTCTCCCCTTTGTGTGAAGACGCCTCAAAGGATTTCTTTATTGCCCCGGGTCACTGGTCTTTCCTTTGTTGCGGTTGTGTATATAGCCATGTGGCTGACCCGGAAGTAGGATTTGCTCTCATCCCCATTCGCAGGCTGGACAACTCGACGACGATGAACGGTTCCGTGGCAAGCGAGGACGAGAAGACGGCGGACGCCAAGGCTCCTAGGAAGTTCACCTTGGACCCTTGGAAATGGTCACGGAAGACCCAAGTTATCGTACTCATGCTTCTCGCGGTGGTATTATTGCCTGGCTTGTTCATGGGAATAGCGGCTGCTGTGAAGCCCAAGTCCAATTAACAGCTGTATAAACAGCAGCGCATCGATGGATGTAGCTGGTTCTACGTCCACATGTGCACTGCCCTGCCGGTAAGTCAAATAAGCCAGACTCAAGATGTCCTTTCAGACCCTTTTCGCACCGGCCCATACATGTATCCCCTTTGGCAACAATGGCCATTTCCACGATACTAGGGCGTCAGTGACCACTGCCGCCTATTGTCCTGCCTCTCCTCAAGATATATCTACCCCTACGTCCTTCTTCCGTCTCTCCGTCTCTCCGTCTCTGCTGTCAACTCCAAGCAACTATTTCTCACGGCGTCTAACAGACTCTTAGAATCCCGTACCGTGTATGTATCTGCCCAGCGTTGAATCCCGACACCACGTCTTGCCAAGATGGAAACAAAGTCATCTGCAGATTCGTCTCGGCAGTCACAATGGACATTATTCTCGCCGTCGACCTGTTTTCTCGACAAGCCGCGGGATGATCCTCTCGGACGCGGCTTGGCAACCACTCGTTGCCGCCGGCCATATCTGACCATCTTGTCTTGACGTGGTTGTCAAAACCCATCTTTTCCAAAGCAAACGTGCCATGTTCCATGATGTTTGAAAGCCCCTGCTAACGAGTTCGTTTTACAGGCCCATGTTTTCTTTCACATTTCGTCCCGATGCTCGCGCCGCCGCAGTGCCGCAGACACAAAACGTGTCGGCCCACGGCTGGCGCAATCACATAGTAGCCGCCTGATCGGAGAATGCTAATTTTTTCGTCGCCGTCGCCATTGGCGTCGTGGTTTATCAGTGCTTGACTTGCCCTGCGAGCAGAGCGTTCGTCGCCCGCTTGCAGCGTCGCTTCGTTGCGCCTGGAGCCTTTTCTCTTTCCTTTTTATATTCCCTTTGTGTAAAGGCGGCTTCTAGGCGCAGCGCGTGGCAGTCTCCGGGGCAAGGCTACCTATTGATACGCCAGTTCGCGGGTCCTGCAACAAGAGATATATAACAAAAATAAAACTTAACTTCTCGTCGTTTCATCAGCATTCACCCGTGGTATTATTGTCCCAACAAGTCTATCATCTCCATGCGGACAGGGGCGCTGTGTCGAATACGCCGTCTAACCGGACGACTTGTTGGAGTAAATATTGCGTGATTTGTTTTCCCACCGCCGTGCCGTGTAGTCTCTCGTGCTGCCGACATGTATACATGGATGTATACACGTCCCCATCACCCATCTACGTACTCGGCAACGTGGCCCTTCTCAGCCTCCATCACCCCCGTCAGCCAGTCGACGTACCTCTCAAAGCCCGTCGTGCTCCCCCGGATCACGGCCCTCCCGACGCCCCTCACGCCCTCCAGAACGCGCAGGTTCTCGCGGCCGGCGCCCAGAAACACCGCCTGCGACACGTCAACAACCACCTCGTCCATGTGGGAGAGGGCCCCGGCCGCGGCCTCCCTGGAGAACAGCACGTCGCAGTCCAGCCGGATGACGAGGCGGAACCGGCGGATCCTCGAGACGGCCGCCGCCTCCTTGACGGGGGGGTAGTCCTCCCGCAGGCGGGGAAAGGACGTCAGGAGGGACGGGTGCGCGAGGAAGGTGTTTTTGGTGTAGAGGAGCGGCCAGGCCTCGGCGTGGATCTGGCGAGAGGTGCCGAGGATGGCTGCGTGGATGAGCGCCCGGTGAGTGCTGTGCCTCGAGTGCGGCGGCAGCAGCAGGAGGAGCGTGTAGATCTGGAGACGGAGCTCGAGGGGCAGGCTGAGCAAGTGGCAATGGCACTGCGGCGAGGAGGTGCTGCTGGCCATGGCGGTCTTGTTTGGTCGTCGCGGGCGGAAGCCGACCATCTGCTCGCGGTGGCGGGCGTGTCTATCCTGCTTGCTGCTCTTGATCTGTGTGTGAGGCCGGGCTGGTCGGCTGCCTGCGCATGGCTCAGGATACATCCGTCCGCCGTGGTCGGCTTTCCCGTCCCGCACGTCTATTGGCCAACTCGGATGCCGTGGTGTGCATCGTCCGGTGTTTCGGAGCTGGGAAGCGATGAAGCCGCCAGAGGACTGTTTCCCAGGCTGCCATTTGAAGCGGCACGTCTTGCTGGCGCGTGGTGGAAGAGATGACGGACGACTTGTACAAATTCTCAGGATACGTAGAATACAGAATTACTCGTGGTAAATGACAGCCGACTTGAAACGTGAGCCATCTTGTGCGTGTAAGTCGTGCGTTGGAAACGGGCTGAGCAGAAAACTCCAAAAGCAGCATCACAGGGCTCCCGTGTTTCAATCACAACCCGGCCTCGCGGCCTCGAAACAGTCTCAATCACATTTCACAAACCGCTTCCCCCTTGCAAATGCACCCTCCGACTCGTCGTGCCGCGGCCGGCCGGCCAGCCCGCTCTGCACACGCATCGCTTCTCTGTCCTTGGAAGCTGAGAAATGATGTAAAAAGTCGTGTCATAGCGTCGCGGATGCCACTTCAGTTGTTTCCTCAACATTGGAAACCAAATGCATGGACTCCGTCATGGTGCAATGATGTCGTGCATCGTCATTTCACGCCCGGCGCTAAAATCACCATTACAATATAAAGAAGACAAAACGCAGGGGGGAATACACACAGTCTAGTCTTGAGTCACAATCTCTCCAAAAATACACCAGTGCGAATCCCCCCAGACTAGGCCCTCCCCCAGAATGACATCGTGGCTTGACGGGGATTCATGCTCATCTAACCCACACAAGTGAGCAAGCCGGCTCCCACACAATGTCTCAGACGACGTTGTACTAGTACTACTACTACTTTCTCCCTGATTCACTTTCCCTCATGCTAGCGCCTCTTTCCTGAACAATGGCCATCTTTACGGAGACAGGACTATAATGGTAGTAATTGAAAACTGTTGGTGACGGGGCGGCAGATGATGTTTGCCATCAGAGAAGGAAATTGACATGGGCAGTCTTGGCATATGCCATATCCAACAGCACCTGTATCACTGATTGTTTATTTGTCGGCATCTATGTCAAGGGAGTCAAGGCAGGTGGAAGACGTACCTGCATCATGTATGGAGTATGTAGTACCTCCATTTGATGTGAGGGAGGCTACCGAGTAGATCAACACGACTTAATGAAGCTACTCCATAATCCGGCACTCATGACGAGATGCGCTCGGGCACTGCTAGTGGCCAACATGGTGCTACCGTTGCTTGTCCTTATCCCGCTTGTCCTTTGTCGTTGAGACATTTCTATACCGAGTATCACTCTCTAGAAACACCAGTCGACGAGCTAGGCTTTGTTGTCGATCTCTCCCAGAAGAGATACCACAAGCCAGCATCTCTGTTGCAATGTCTAGCATCCAATTTGGCTGATCATGGCACCATCGACACATGCAAGCCCCCTTTCATCGGATTATAAAACATGTTGATCGCGCTGTTGCGACGGGCAAAGGCATCCTCCAAGTTTGTTGTACTCCCACAACTTCGGCAAGCCATTCATTCACCTTATTTACCTTGTTATATTTTTTTGCCACACAATCGTTTACACACTCACTCGCCACGATTTAAAAATGCACTCCTCAGTCTGCCTTGCTCTCCTCACTTGCCTCTATGGCACCTCGTTTGCTGCGCCCATCAACGCCGGTAGCTTGACCAATGGCGCCGAACATCGTCCTGACGCCAACCCGAGCCTTCCCGTCGTTGTAGACCCCGAACAAGGTGGTCTTTCCAATGGTGTAAAGAGGGATGCCACCAGAAGCTTGCTTGATGGCCTTATCCAGGATGTCCCCATCGTAGGCGGTGATGGCGGGCTCGCTGGTGCCGCCAGCCATGTTACCAAAGCTGCCCCTGGGGTCGGCAAGAGAGAAGTCACTGATGACGTTGCTGGCATTGTAACCGGTCTCACCGAGGGCGCTGACATTGCCGGTGTCACAGATGAAGCTCTTGCCGGACAGAAGAGGGATGGCACTGTTGGCTCTCCCAATGGCATCACGGACAAAGTCCCCATTGGACAGAACCTTGATCCCACCGGCATCGCGGAGAGTCTTCTACACCCAGGAGGCTTTCCGGGAGTTGGCGCTGATTCTCTTGTCGGTAAACAGAAGCGAGACGCCATCGGCGGCCTGGGTGAGGGTCTTCCCTTGGGATCTTCCTTGGGATCTGCCGGCGGCATTACCAAGCCCGTCACTGATATTGTCGGAAGTCTCCAGTCCCTTGACGGAAACAGCCTTGGTGGTCTCACCCAGTAAAGTACTGGAATCCCCAACGCCGTCATTGTCCCCAGAGAGACCACCTCGACCATCGACAATGCTACGTCAATACTGTTGCTGATGCCATCAAGATGCTATCGGCGAATGGATTCATGACGGGTGGACGAGATTTGTGGAACCAGGCAAGCCGGTTGACTTCGGTGCAATGTTGCGGTTGCGTATATTAGCTGGTTTGGAGGCTCATTCTATTTGGATTGGCCAATAACATAACTTTGAATGTGTATATTTGGAGCAGGACCGGAGGGATTTCGTTGATAAAGTTGAATGCAGCCAGTTCACCAATATTGTGGCGATACGAGATGACCTTGATACTAGAATACGAATGAGAGGCTTTTCGATCTGTACACGCCGGAGATATAATGATTTTGCATCATATAAAGTACAATGACAGGGCCAATATGCTTATTTCGGGTGCCAGGCATCTCCTTGTCTTGTGATGAGCATGAGCATGATGAAATGTGAAACCCGTGGCTAATTCCGTGTATCTTGACTCTCTGGTCTCTGCGCCTGGGAATAGCAGCACATGACTCTTATACCCAGCGTCATTCATTGTCTTGGCTGGCTGAAATTATCAAGGCTCTACCGCGAGCACAAGCATTTGGTCTCCTCGGACTCAAGCCACAAATTCTCGCGAGTGTGATCAATGGCTGACGCCAGTCCCGTCCACTTGACAAGAGCCAGCCACCAGGCGTCCAATGAGATATCACGGAGCTTGCGTGCTCACGCGCCCGTCTGGAGCAATCCATTAATCCCGACTCATGCCCAGTTAGAAGAAAGAGTGTGGCAGCAGTTTTCCCAAGCGGATGCCCTCATGCTAAACACCTGAGGGCGTTTCCATTCATCTTGACAAGTACTTCTGCCGAGCTGCCGAATCATCTAGTTTCCAAAGTAGAAACGCCTTTGGTGCTATTTGTCCCATTTCCGAGCAGCTCTTAAGTTGGATAATGCGGAATCACAGCCAGATATAAGGAAACAAGAGCTCTTGTTTCGCGACCAGTAGTGATTACAGAAGAGAAGCAAGTCGTGTATGTAAGCGTTTGCTCTGCCTACACCTGCCAAGGCTGACTGAGCTGGTTTGTAGAGGAGATGGACACTTTAGATATTGGCCATTATCTGGAATGACGTTAGAACACGTTACATTGTCAAAATCCGGGGTATCTCTTGTTGTTGTCATGCCAGAGGGCCATGGTTCCGAAAGAGTATCCATTACCTCGATCAAACCCATATAAACCCAACTATTGCAATCAAAACCGCTTCGGCAAAACTGCACCCTTTGGCATTGGAACTTGATGCCTCTCATGAACAATGATATCAGCGCCACAAAGGCCAGTTCGGTGAGAGAAAGGTCAACCAAAATCGGATTCGCATGCTCATCGCCCTGGTGAAAGCTGGCAAGTATACCGGCAGTTTCGACGAAGATGGTGACGGCGAGTGCGGTGATACAACGCCTATCGAAACACCAGTCGCTTCTCCAGCTGGGCGGATCTGGTCCATGCGGGCTCTAGGAACGCTGGCCTGCGGCTTTACCGGGACCTTGGTGGTCGCAAAGGAGCGGATTCCACAGAAAAAAAATAGTCAGCGTTACGGAGTACAGACGAGAGTCATCGCAATTGTGGAGGTGGGGAGGAGCGTTTCCGGTTTGTGGCTTCGGGCGGGGCCAGAACGCTCTGGTCCCCAATCACCTGCAGCCGTGAACATGGCGCTGGGGTCATGGGGAAGGGACCTCCTGGCCTGTCGTCCCTCGTTTAGGAAAGCACGACCCGCAAAGCCGTCATTGCCGTGTTGCGCATTACGTGCATAGGTGTCGTGATTCGCATTAAAATTAAAAAGTCCTGCTTTCGAGGGTCATGGCCGTCGCTGTTGTCTACTTTCTGTTCCGCCAGCCTCGCTCTCTCTGTTGAGCAAGAGGCTCCTAACCTTGTCTAGCAAATGGCCTCTGGGATGTGATTTTTATCACACGACTGACTGCACCGACGCTGTGGTTTCTTCCAAGTTGGCCAGAAAATCACCCGCCACATCCCACGTCATGAGCCTTCTCACCTTCCTTTCTGGCCTGTTTGGTTGGATCTACACCTTTTGCTGGAGCGCTTCGTTTTATCCTCAACTTATATTGAATCTTCGCCGCAAGAGCACATCTGGAACCACTGTGGATTTCCCCTTCATCAACGTTCTAGGTATGGTCCGCCGCAATGTCTCATCCCCCCAGAGTCGTTGGCGCCAGCCAGCTCCGACGTGCGCCAGATAGACTGACATGTCCCAGGCTTCGTTGCGTATTTCGTCTCCAATGTCGCCTTCTACTACTCTCCCGTCATTCGAAGCCAGTACGCCGCTCGGCACAACGATCTTACTCCCACTGTCCAGTTCAACGACATCACTTTTGCGCTCCACGCCTCTGTCATATCTGCCATCACTCTTTCGCAATACCTCCTCCGCACTCTCTGGGGCTTCGCCCCTTCCACCGGCACCCGCCCTAGTCGCTTCATTGTCGGTGTCGCGCTGGGCTGCCTCTTCGGCGTTGTCGCCACTTATCTAATAGTTGCTTCGGAAGCAGCCAAGGGCCCTA